CGCAATGCGCATCCGTGCCTCGCCCGCACCCTGCCCCGCTGCAGCCTGCAGCAAGCGCCTCGCCCGCACCGTCGACGTGCATCAATCACAACCACCCTCATCCTCCTCACTATCAGCTGCGGTCGGAGATTGTTTTCTACGCCGTTCCCTCCGACTCAACCTCAACTGCCTCGCCGCGGCCACATCCGCACTCGGATCGATTCTATACCGACGGTAGCACCGTTACCGCGCGCTCTCGTCCTGTGGCAGTGGCTGGCCGTATACTCTACGGAGGGAGAATCTTCGGCTCGACACTAACATGTTGTCTCAAACTCAAATGTGCTGTGCAACGGCAGCGCGGTGAAGTTCTACCTGCACGGATAGTACTTACCCGCTCGTTAGCACGCTTATTCGCACGACGCGGGAGGCGCGGAGGAGTCGCGGCGTTATGTATATGGTACGTCGCGCTTTGAGATTCCTGGAGTAATCTGCTGACGACGCCGACGCGGGTGCCTTGAACCCCTTCCTTGCAGCCGAATGCTCTGCGTATCCCCTGGCACAACGGGCGACCCCTGGCAGAACAGGCGACCCCCGTCTCTCTTCCGGAGGGACTCGTTGTGCAGCTCGCACACACCGCTAGCGTATGGTTCGCGGATTGCCTCCCCCTTACCCCGCACGCGATGCCCCCCCTTCTACTCCCTCCTTTCCCTCCGCGTACTGAGTCCCCTCCTCCCCTCTACTCCCTCCTTGCCCTCACCTCGCCATTCAAATACCTCCGCTACCTCCACATCCCCAAGTATTCGAAGATTGATGGATCTGCGCACCTAGTAAGTTAGTAAGTTAGTATCATTTAACATCGCCTCTGGCCGCAATGGACTCCGCATCCGCAGTTGCGGCTTGCTTAACAACCAACGACCACAACCAACGACCACAAGTCACAACCAACGACCTCAACAGTCAAATTCGAAACTCCAAACTCCAACCCCACTCCCAGCGCGCGCAGTGCCTTCAAGTTATGCTTGCTTCGGGGTGGAAGTCACGCTTGCTTCGGTGTGGCTCCAAGGACACTGACATTTCCCTTTCGCAGTACGCACCAAATTCCTTTCGCACTTCCACCCCATCTTCGCGATCCGCAGTCTGGATCACGCCGTCGCCAGTCGACGCCCACTCTAGCTAGGTCCGTACCGTACTGTCAGCGGGCGCCCAGCGTTCCACCGTAAATCGTGTTCGCGCTCGTGCTCGTGCTCGTGCGTGTTCGTGTGTCAGAAGCCTAGTCTCTGTTGACCTCTCGGAGCGCGCAATTACTATTACTACTCTTGGAATGCACAATTATCATTACTACTCTTGGAATGCGCAATTACTGCCCCTTGAACTTAAAGACGCGAAACTGAATCCTGGGACGAATCTGCTGCATTTCATGCCGATGTCACACCTACATCGTCCATCCTCGGTGTGAGTTGATTCCTGCCTTCACTTGGTCGAACCCTGCCTTCGCTGGTCGAACCCTGCCTCCACTTGGTTGAATTTAGCACTGATACCACCCGGCAGATCATCGGAAATGGTTCATAAATTTTCCAGCCATCGTTGGGGCATTAAGGAGGATATTCCGGTAGGTACGATGGATATTCGGGTGCATAGGTATCAATCATTCATTGATTCTCAAATGTTAATGTCCTCACGTAAGTGGGATTTTGAACTTCCGCGTATTGGACGTCGATTCCAGTTGCCCATGCCCACCTCCCGAGATCCCTTTCAGAACAGGGAATCGGACCTCGTGCACGGTGCACGTCTGCATTACATTATACATAGGATTGCACCCATCGATCTTTGCCGCGGAATTTCGGGGTTCGACTCGGGTGTGAATTGTTCTGGGGCAGTGGTTTTTTGTGATTGATGAACCGGGGTAACGATTTCTAGTAATTTCCTGTCGGACGGCGTATTGAACTCTCGGACGTGGTATTGGATTCAGGTCAATCTAGCTCTGTCCCTCTCCTTACATGTTACACCCTCACCCTCGTCTTGATAACCATGCGGTGATTTAGCACCCCCCATAGTAAGTACTCCTACATACCACAGGATAAAAAATCCACTCCCAGAAAAGCACCAGAGTAATCCACCCTACGCATCGGTCACTTGAGGACCGAGGGCGAAATGGTTCGCAGCTGCTAGAAATGGAATATTCACTTGTACATGCAGCGCCGCCCGTTCGACTCGGGTTCGGTCCGTAGAGTGGAAATTGAACAATATTTTCGTTTTTATTTCTTCTCGATTTGTATGGCTGAATTCTGTCCGTATCGCGCATTCACCATCACTCCTTCGTTCCATTCCCTCCTCGGACTGTATAAGTCCTGTCCTTTGATGTTTCTCTCCACACACCGCCAGCCAATCTCAATTCGAAAGCCTCCGTGCACATCTGCGAGTACATATACTCGGGACGTCAATGGATTCTATATCTGTAGATACGGACGATAAATGGTAACGTCGCATCTGCAGCTTGTTACTAACACGCCGCCGTCTCCCGTCTCTCAGCGCTTCTCTCTATTCGTCGGCTACGATACGTTCATAGGCAGTCCAGGGACCTCCAGGACCTCTTTACCATAGGATTCTTAGTAAAAAACGGGACGCAATGGACAGAAAATGAAGAAAAACGCTGACTCCGAAAGGATGGACGAAAAACGTGGGTGGCGTCTCCATACGTCCCGCCCCTGAGTCGAACGGGGTCCTCCCGCCTTGATTGTCGGTAGACACACTGACATGATCGCCAGGCGTGCTCCGAGCACTAACGGTACTTGGAGATTGGTGAACTGAGCTTCAAGTTGCTAAGGTATCATCGATCCAAAATACGCGACTCAGGTTGGCTCGCAGCCCCGAGTCCCTCTTGAGATGACAAGAATTTCAAACCGGCAATCTTAGAGGAGGGAAGTCCACTTGGAGTATTTCTGTGAGCAATGTACATGCCTAGTCGGATGGTGGAAGCTGCTCAGATATTCGAACTTGGCGTGCAATTCACCTTAAGTATGATTGAATCGGCTCCGCAGGTCCGGGATCAGATGAACCGCCGGAAATGACGGTTTCAGGCATGCGGGTAGGACTTCCCACGGTTCAATTTGTTTGAAAAGAGGTCAAGCTCACAAAACAGGGAGCAAGTTGGTAGATGCAGGTCCCATTGGGGCACACACCTGCTTCTCATTAAAGCGATTTGAATACTCATCCTACAGCATCCACTCCATTCTCGGCTACGGTGCCTCATCCATCCGCATCCTCACTCCCTTTAATTGGCGGCCGGCTTTTCCGTTACTCCCGAGCCAATCTTCCGACCCGATCTTCGAGCCTTCGTTCCATTCCAACTTCCCACATTGAGCCTCTCTGAAACTCCGTCGCAGGATTCAGAGACTCGGAGATGCAGTTTCCTGCCTCAGACTCCACCGACCCTAGGTGTGTCCTGCCCAAATTATGGACTTACAATTCAATACAGCTGCGATTGTAAACACAATCAACTAATCACCATCCATTTGTTTCAACTTTGAGGTCGTTCATCCTACGAATCGCCACAACCGAGCTCGGATCTAAGATTTCAAAGTCCAGTTGGTGCGTGGTGCACGTCTATAATCCGTTGACGGGCTGCAACAACAGTTGATGCAGGAAGCCCGTTCGAATCGGGAGCTGGACATAGGGGTCTGGAGATTTTTTGGTTGTGGATTTCACCAGATTGCTGAATTTAATCTTCTATTCGAGCCGCCAGGGCCATGGCATCAATTTTAGAGGGCCCTTTTCCTCCTCCCTCCGGTTTTCTTTGGATCGGCCTTACGATCTTCGATATGTAGGTTCCGATTGGCTGCCAGAGGTTTTGACTTCGACTGGGTTTCGAACGTACAAATCCCCGACTCGGGCTCGGTCCGTGGGGAATGTGTCACTTCACTTTTCCTTTGTTTTTTCTCTCTCGAATTTCTGGCCGCATTCGTGTCATAGGGAGTCACTACCGACCCGTTGAGCGAAAGATGTGTCCATGCTAATACTCATACGAACGACAAATCTGCGTGTCCGGTATACGTCTGATTCTGGGTGAACACAAGAATGCACCTAAACTACATTGGCCAGTTGGGGAATTTTCTTCCGAACTTTCAGGTGCTTCATTGAATGCCGGTTTCACTTTTAGATGGGTGAATCATTATCGACGATTGTCCAGGGATGTTTAACTGGTGAGGACGGTGATCAACCGGTGTTGCATATTTTGATTGACCCTCGAGTTGAATTCAAACCCTGTTGAAACCCACAAAAGATGGTGCAATTCTGTAGGTGAATGTCCGGATGGTGCGTGGTGCCCACCTGCGATTTGTGTTGACCTCGAACACTGTATCAGGCAGGTTGACCCCGTTCGATTCGGGGACGTGCCATGGAGCCCATTTGCCGTCTCCTTTTTTTCGTTTTCAGGCTGTGCGGCCGGACCCATGTCTATCAGTATTGATGTCCCAGCCGCGTTTAACCAACTTTTCTCACTGGATGACTCAATTTTCGAAGGGCAATGTTTTCCAAGAGCAGATTCCACAGGCAGCTCAAGAGGTGCAATACTAATTGCAGTTTCCACTGCCCAAATTATGGACTTGCCATTTGACGCAGTTGAGCTAGATAAATACCTGTCTATCCCAAATCCTTCATGATAATAGGAATCACCAAGCCGAGTTTGGATCCACTATTGTCCAGTCGGCGTGTGCTGAATTCCTGCAATCCATAGTGCTTGACACTTGATCTTTACTGCAGGAGGCCCGTTCGCATCGGGAGCTGGACGTCTGCGGTTGCGATCTTTTTGTCAAGTTGTCAAAGTACAAATCTTTCGCAGCGGAGGTGCCCAATTCAAGGTTCTGCTCACGCCGACGGACGACCTGAATTTTCGCGGCCCCGTTGCCATCTTCTGGCTTTATGGCCGAGCAATTTTCGGTGAGTAGGTTCAAATTGGCTGCCAGGCGTTTTGACTCGGACAAAGTTTCGAGCCCACAAATCGTGGCGCAGTGCAGTAAGTGAAGGTCCTGTTGGTGTGTGGCACACGACTGCTTCTCATTACCAATGCAACTTCAATAACTACGGTAGGAGAACCCCGTTCGAGCCGGGGACGGGACATAATACAGTCTCACTGATTTTTTTCTCTTCTCCCTAACTAAGCAACTGAAAGAGATTTTCCGGCTACAGCGCATCATCCAGCTGCACCCCTTTTCTCATTGCATGACCCAATCTCTAAACCGCAATTCCATTCCAACTCAAGGATTCGCACTCCACCGTCGTTAGTGGCGGTCTGATATACTGCCTAGATTATGACTCGTCAGCGCCATTTTGAGTCCAGTTGGTGCGTGCAATGCGTTGACCGACTTCACGAGAAAGTTTTGATGCAGGAAGCCGGCTCGATTCGGAGCTGGACATGGTTTGGAATTGAACCCCATCACCCTGCCTAATCTGTATTGAACAAAGAAACTCTGGACCCTATCAACCCAAGGTAGGTAAAAACCGGTGGTTACAAGTCCTGCTGGTGCGTGGCGCACGCCTACAAAATTTGAAAAGACCCCGACGTAGAACTACTACATGTAGGAATTCCCGTTCGATTCGGGGGCAGAGAATACGGCAGGTATGGTTCATGATTCTTTTTTCGCGGCATCTTTGGTTCCTGGCTCATTTCTTGAACCTGTTGATATGCTGTCTACACTGGCGCATCCGAGGAACAAGACCTCCGCATGGCATCAGTATCACTGCATTGCAGAATACAACTTCAAGACAGGCAACCTGACACGGGCTGAACGCAAAACTCAATGACATATTCCGTGCCACAGGACTGTGAATCCGCTGTTTCCACGCTGAAATACATGTGCTGTATTGGTGGTGGATGAGAAGTGAACATGTGGAGGGAGGGTAACGGGGAATGTGGTTGAATTTTGTAAAGCTGAAGTTGGAAGCGACTAGATGCCAGAAACAGAGGGGATCCATAGCTCAATGGCCGATGCCACGAGCGTATGCATACGATCCCCGGATGCATACAGGCTCAATTGTGGACGGTGGTGGCAAGGTGGTGGCGGGAAGAGAGCCCTCGGATCATTCCGGTATCTCGTCCTGGCTGGAGCCTGATCGCATCAGACTACTCTTTTTTCTCCTTACCATGTCGTGCATTCGTCGATCCGAGTTGGTTTTGGAATGCAATCCCGGAACTTGCACGAAGATACGGTAGACGGAGAGCGTTCTGGGCGGGTTGTATGTCGTGCACAACGCCGGCGGACCTGCGTAGCTAAGTACTACCCGCTTCAGGGCCGCTCGTTGAAGCGCTTATTCGGAACAGGCAGGAGGCGGGGAAGAGGCGCTGGATTAAATGTATGGTGCGTCCCGCTTTCAAATAGAATAATGTGCTGAACGTCCGTTTCTTAGCGTCGTGGATACCGCCATTAGCTGCGGTATCAAGCCCGCGTTACACCACCATTGCCAGCACCCACCGTACCGTCTCCCGGCGGGCCATGCGGCGCTGTATCCCCTGGTGGCTTTCGGCACTTTTCCTCCCGCGGAAACTGGCCCCTCACCCACTGCTGTGCGCCCGCGCAGGTACGCTCCCATGTGCACCACAATCACTCTGATGCTCCTCAACCTTACCATCCATTCACCTCCGCGCACACGATGCTCGCTCATTCCATTCCTTCCCAGTACTCTTTTCCTCTGCGAACCTCCAACGCTAACGCCTCCATATGCACATCCGCAAGTCCCCAGGATGTCATGCCTCAACATCATCCACGGTCGCACATTGCCTGCCCCATCCCTCCCTATCCAGTCCCTCCAACTCCACGTACTCCGCGTACTCCGCGTACTCCTCCTCTACTCTCATCCTCATCTGATGTATCCGCCAACCCTCAAAGCTCTCCACGGGCATATGCACATCCGGAAGTACTCGAGATCTCGAGATGCATCGTCAATGGAATCAAAATGTACTATAGTAACAGTGCCGACGCGAGCCCTCCCTTGCTTGTGCGTGTGGCTGGCTGCATGCTATATGGAGGGAGGATTAGGAGCTTGTTACTAACGAACGACCTTACACAGTCCTAGGGGAAGGAACTGCGCTACGAGTCTGGTGAGTTCTCTAATTGTCGCCAATGCCTCGCGATCCTCCGCGCTCAGTGTATCTACACGATCTTTCGCACTGGCGTTGGTTTGATTGTATCATCCACCCCCGGTTCCCGTAACTGTTGAAACCTCCACTCGCTTCCATCCACTTGATCCTTCGTCTCTTCCGTCCATCTCTCGAGTTATCGGTGTGGGCGTGATCACTCTCAGTCGACGTCTACCTGGGTTAAACTGCTTATGGTACTGGGATGTCGTGCACAGCGCACATCTGCTGTGCTTAGGAGAGTATCTTCAACTTCGGAGAATTACGGGGTTCGACTCCCCGCGTCCGAATGAAATCGATCTCGACGGACCCTGTTTTTTCTTCCTTCCTTGTTCTGTGTCTGATATTTTTCCACTCGCGTCTGCTACGGTCGGTATGACTTCAAACGACTCTCAGTTAGAACGCCATCGATGTTAAAATATCACGTAGGACCGGCAAGTATTGGTTACACGTCCCGCACCGAAGTACAACCCGTGTCGCCACTGAGGATGTTTGCTTCATCTGCCTAACCTCACTTTGGTTGCCCGCTCCATATCTCCGTCGCCTGCTCAACCTTTCCCGAATCCCGAAACGCCTCCGAATCACCAATACCTTGCCTTCTTCATCAGAGGGAGCTGTTCAATTCGGGACTCCGCCTTGCGTTCGTTCTATCGATTCTTTCGATCAATAGGTCATATGCTCATACATATGAGTGGTTTTCTTTTCGCATTTGCAACGATACCCAGTAGTAGTAATAAAGATTGATCGAGGTACGGACCGTGTATCGCCCAGGCATTTTTTCCAGGATTTTGATCTCAGCTTCCACAATATATCGGATCAATTCAAGTATTTACAACATGCTGGGAATTTCCTCGAGCCGATTCAGTGCCTTTCACAGCGGGTTCGGCAGATTAGGCGGGCGGCTGCATCTCTGTAGCTTTTTCTCTCTCTCTCCAGGTCATTCACAGAAAATTAATTGTTCTTACTGATAACGATAGTATACGTACTCATCGAACTCTGCAACAAGGGGTGGCTGAAAGAAAACTCGCGGCATTAACTCCCTAAAACTCCCATCAAAGGACCCCGAGCCAGTCAGACCACCACCACCACCCGGTCCGCTGATCCGACCGCTCGATGGGGGCAAACTGTCAGCACATAGCAGTCATCCTAATGTGCCATAAGAAACATTTAGACCATGGTAATTGCCTGGCTCCCGTTTTCCCAAAAGTCGAAGCTAAGAAACACACTCAACATATTATACAGTTCTTGCGAGTTTTTACAGGCCGGTGCCGATACTGGATGGACAAATACACTACATTTTTCGGCTACTGTTGGCTGCTGACTACCATGTATCAAGGTATTCTGCTCAAAAAAATTATAAAACATAGGAGTTTGATGCGCTCATAATATGATATACATTTTCTCAAGTTCAGAAGAGCCAAAGGATAAGAGAGAAACTGCTTTGTGCTCAGCGCCCCAAAGGGAAGTGATGTGGGACCCCGAGAGATGGTCCGAAACGTATCACGTGTGTCAATGAGTAGATATGCGTGGATTCCGCTTTCAGCCACCCCTTGCTCTGCAATATTGAAATTTGAACTTCGAAGGTTAAGTGTGAATCGAGAATCGGAACCGCAGAAACAGAGTTGCGCCAAGTTCAGAAATGTTCACATAATCCCATTGTCGCCCGTTGTCAGGGCTCTGTGGTTGGCAAGCCCACTCAAGCCACGTTTGTTGCAATCCGAGGCAAAACCGTGAAATCGAAGTGATATGATTGGAGCACGAACGCGGACCGCGGAGTTATAACACGGATGTAGAACGACAATCAAACGGCATTTGGCTCCGCGAGTAGAGGCGAGTAGAGGCGAGTAGCCGCGAGTTTGAACCAGTCAGCCGCAATGACAGAAACGTGCCATCCTTCTCACGGACGGAATCCTTTTTGGGATGTCGCTAAAGCGGTAAGTAGGAATATAAAAGCCAACACCGCGTCCCTAAAATATCAGTACTCTTCTTCCCAACTATCCTTCTCCTTAACTCAATAATGCAGCTAAAAATCTCCCCTCTCGTTCTTGCCGCCGTTTGCTTCGTCGCATCTGCGACAGCGTACCCCAACTCCAAGCGTGAGCCCGAGGGCCATGAATTCATTGCCCCCAAGGAGGGCGACGTCCGTGGGCCGTGCCCGGGGCTGAATGCGTGCGTCTGTTTTGGATCCCACCGCTGTTGCTAATAACATCCCTTTTCAGGCTGTCCAACCACGGGTATCTTCCGCGTGATGGGAAGAACTTCACCCCGAAACAGCTGCTCGACGCCGCCATAGGTTCGCGTCGTCGTATTTCTTCCATTCCCGGAAATTTAACCGCTTCCGCCAGCTGGATACAACATCGACCCACCTGTCATTGCAGTAGCGGCCAAGTTCGGAATCCTCACAAAATCGGATTCTGACACGTTCGACCGCATGGACCTCGACAAGATCGTCGCGTACACCGCTTTTTTATTCTCAGTCACTGAGTCGCTCATTTCTTACAATTTGCCAGTCACAACATCATCGAGCACGACGCGTCGATTTCGCGTAACGACTTTGGCGACGGCACCGGCGACAACATGCATTTCAACGAGACCACATTCTCGGCCCTCAGCAGCAAGAACCCCGGACAGGACACCTACGACCCGGTCGCGGCTGGCCAGACTCAGCGCGACCGCCTCGCGCACTCGCTTGCGACGAACCCGCTCACGCTGAACACCCAGAAAGAGTTCCTTCTCCGGAGCCGCGAGTCTGCGCTGTACCTGAGCATCATGGGCGACCCGCTCACTGGCATTGCCCCCAAGGAGTATGTGTTGCACTTTAAATATCTCGCGGACCGACTTTTACTGATTTAACTCTCCTAGGTTTGTAAACATCTTCTTCCGCGAGGAACGCATTCCGTATGCTGAAGGGTTCGAGCTGACCAAAACACGCATCACGGAGGACACAATGTCGCCGATCGAGGACGTTATCCGCGATGCGTCGGAG